ATGTAAACACCAACCTGGATCTCCTTCATGGCAGATGTTTGCTATCAGGTCATAGGTTGTACGAGGGTGTGCATCTTGAACTTTAGGATCACTTGAAAGGTACTCCGCCATATCAATACCCCTTATAATATATATTTATCAACAAAACATTTTATTAAATATCTAACATGTAACAGCACTGGTTGGATTAACAAACACAAAAGAAATTACAAAAAAAAAATTCTAAAATTATACTCCAGACTATTTCTTATAGCTTTTTATCTATTTTCACATGATTTTAGAGCTTTTTTCTTTGTTGTTAATTTTTAAACATTTATTCAAGACCCCATTGATAACACAACTACTATTGAATGGGCTATAACTGCTGTATGAAAATTAATTATACAATAGCAAAACGTTTTGCCTCAGTAGTAACTGACACTAAGGAATCAAGAAGAGGCGACATGTATAAAGCTCAGTCAAATTGTGAAAAGACAAAGACGCACAGCAACTCGTCTTGATTCTTTTGTGTTTGACTACTGACTAGAGTTGAAATTCTCAAATTGGCTATTACATGTATCAGTCCATCATTATTATCATCAGCTAGTGGTAGCATTACTGAGCATTATACTCACTTAACAGGAAAGTTGACAACAGTTGGGTTTTTCTCTGTAAAGAAGGTGTTCTTTGCAAATCTCTATAATCATTGTAAATAGAGGATTTCAAATCTTACAGCAAAGGTAACTGTCTATAAGGCTAGCAGAAAGTCAAAGGAGATTGGAACCACCTTTTCCCCTACGCTCCAAAATACTCAATTTGTTTACAGACAATGTAATCTCACCTTAAAACTCATGATCAAATAGCGTGGTAGCTTTGTCAGTTCAAATTTCTTAATAAATAATTCTTTGTATGTTTTGTATTCCTATAAAAAAGTATACAAAGTTGGAAGAAAAGTCATACAGTATCATGGCCCTCTGTGCTGATTGCAAAATGCTAGAACAGAGACACACAAGATTGTAATGCTTGGTAAATGAAAGTTCAACAAAACTGTCTGTTGTCATTATCTAAAACCATCAGAGTGTAAAAACCCAATAAATATTTACATGTATGTATTACCTTTTCAGTACTTCCATCAAACTTAGACAAAAGTGTGAAAAGTGATATCTAGAAAAAGAAAAAAAATGNTTTTGTTGGAGGGGATGGGAGGGAGGGACAAAAGGYTACAGAAGTCTGGCTCAAATAGAGGGCTGGTCTAGGAATTGTTGAAATCTTTAACCTCAAGAATGTGAATCATAGGTGGAGAGCTTACTTTCATTTTTTTCTAATCAGCAAATAAAAAAGAAATGGAAGGAAAAAATAATGGGAGGGCAGTACCACCCCCCTCCCCACCACACCCTGCTCATGGGTCACATGTCACAACTATTTGTGGCCCAGGGTCCTACTAGAACCCAGTCTACTGAGATGTTGTTATTTTAATTTAAYAACCTGGTAAAATCTTGTTAACAGTTTCCAAGTCCCTCTTTCCAACAGCTTTCAATAGGTCTTCACTTGTCTTTGGCTTCCTGGTGGTGGTCACCGTGACAACAACACTCCATGCACTGTTTCCATAGTTATTCATGCAACGTAACCGATAGCGATATTGCGATCTCGGCTCTAAGCCAGTAAATACATTGCTGGTAGAATAACCAGAGTAYACATTSCCAAATCCTTTACTTCTAGTTCCAACTTCCTCCTCCTGAACACAGTATTTAGGACGGTCATCTCCCTTACGTGGGGAAGCTTGTTCAGGGGGGTTCCAGTATAGTTCTATGGAATTGTGAGTGACTTTGCCAACGACTGGTGGGTCTGGTCGCCCTGGTACTGACATTCTAAAAATAGAATGGAATGGACTTATCAATATATCGACAATGTCAAAGTAATGACATATCTACATATAACATGAACAAAAAACCGTTACAATCTTCCAGTGAGAAATATTTWATCCATTTAGTTACTGTTGCAAAGACAATATTTATATTTATTGAGAAGAACAGCTTGGCACACATGKAATCCATTTACTCACAYYAGTTGTGGGCAAGATACTACATGTATATGGGTATGTGCCATGCTATAGGGTATGGTCTTTTAGTCTGGGGTAACAACAGTGAAAATGTAACAATCAGGAATAAACATAGAA